TAGGTCTTCCCGTACGTGAAAAATTGTCGCAAAAAATAAATTCCAAGATTTGTCACGTGCAAAGGGAGGTAGTGGTTTCAGCAGTGAGCAGCATTTGACAAAAGATTCTGAGACCCCTGCTCCTTACCTTAAAGACTGTCCACGCGCTCAGGCAAGCGCTAGGCGTTCCTTCTTTCACAAATGCTCTGTTCTCATTCTCAAAAGTTATCTCTTTCGCGACTTCACAATGAGTAACAAGAGCACTGCCACCCTCGTGAGTGGCAACTAAGACGCTCCCTCCCTGGTCGTCACACCCACCAAAACTGGTTAATTTCTGCCATGAGTTCATTTTTTACACTTTGGTTTTTCACTATCAGATGTATTGAATGACGTGAAGAAACGAGTATTGAGTCGGAGGCACCAAGGCGCTCTGCAGGCAAAACTGAGCAGGTCCGGAAAACTCGTCTAGAGTGCCTGCCTAGAATGTTCTCTATGATTCTTTTGAAATCTATTCCCCTCGAGAATCAATAAGCGATTTCAGGTTTGTAATTGACCGCTGCTATCCACAATATACACTCGTGGGATTTGTCTTGAAATTCGTAATACATTACATCGGTCTGACTAATGTGCATTACAGTTGTGGTGCGCACCACAGAACCCCTATGTGGTTCTTCCTAAAACCGTCATGACTTCAGAACTCATTAGTCTCCTCAGAAACGTATATAAAACGGAGCATAACTGTGCAAGACAATGCTAAGAGACGTGGGATAGCGACAACCGCTGGAAGCTCGCTTTCCTGAGAAGCAGTGCTCCTATTTACCTTCTCTTCTTCCTAGCGTTTCTCCTGCTGTTGTTGAGGACGCTTCCTCGACCAAAGCTTTCCAACGGTCGGTCTATATAGGCTGCGGACATGCCAGCAGCAATAATGTCCATCTTCAGTCTGTTTTTCCATTGCCAGCCTCTTGGAGATGTTCGTTCAAGATTTCTGAAGATGACCCTCGCTCTAATGTTTCTTGCTGGCCTCGTCTAAAAAACTCAATGTGAGTAGTTTCATTCACTTTAAAGCACTTTGAATGCATATAACTATAGAAGTATCATACTCTCCGGCAAGCTGACAACGTTTCATTATTGTTGCATACGACAGGAGTTCGAGGATCGTCATTATCAAGACAGATCATCCCAAAATGTTATAGGTCAATATTTAGACGCGATTCGTAGGAAGCATGTAGATTTACAAAGTCACCCGCGAGAAAGATGTCATAATAAAATAATGCTAGAATGAGAGTAAGGTCTCTGAAAGGAATATGAAGTGAAGTGCGTTCTAAGTGTAGAAAGGAAAGAAAAGACTAATGCTCGGCAAAAGTGTTGAAAAATAAACACTTAAGAACGACATTAGACTTCCCATAGAGGATTGAAACCGTCTATATTAAAAATATTAGAACTGCACTTCACTTACACCTCTGATAGATGAAACCAGAGCGGTCATTGACGGTGCCCACACATCAACGCCATCCACATCTGGCACTGGGTGTTCTGGCAAAAAATAGAGTCATATATGGGAATGTAGTGAAGGAGTAGGAAGTTTTGATGATTCAGGGCGATGGTGGATAATACTGGAAACGAGGAGGAGAACCGAGATAGGAAAAGGGAGGTGAACTTTGCAACGAAGGTTCCTCACAAACGGGATGCTTATTAGTCACGTAATGTCATTATGCTCTTTCCTGTTCTGTTTGCGTTCTGTTTTCTGGTCCTTTTTATGATTTCGGTGCGCCGTCACCTTTCGCATGCTGTACCTGATTTCCAACAGCACGATTTGCAATCCGAATAGTGCCTTTAGCACATCTTAGGTGACTGCAGCAACGAAATCCAGTCAGGGCACGGGTGTTCCCCAACGGGGGACGTCGTATCCGGTCGCCGGCAGAGGGGAATCGTATTTGGGCCAAAAAGTTCTTTGGTAGTTGATTTTTGCTGTTTCATGGACGTTGGAAGAGGGAGGGCGGGGTGTCGTTTTTTGCTAGCATTAGTTGGTTCACTCAAGATCGAGGCCTTCGATCACTCTGTACCTGCGCAAAATGCGGTACCTTTCAGAGCCCATTTGGGAGCGACACCCTAGCTGCGGTCCAGGGTTTTACACCCAAAAGGGTCGCGTCTTCATCGACCTACTTGGCTGGTGCAATTTCTTCGCTAGCGTTGAGGAAGTCATCAGAACCATCAGGAGGGTGTGTTGTGGTTTTCTGAAGTGGTTGACATTCCAAGTCAACCGTTTTCAATCGTCTTTATTGCGAGGACGCGCACATGAAACGACGAGATCATGGCTTATGCGCTCGATGGCGCAGTTGGTAGCGGTGCAGGTTCATGCGTGCACCAGCGTGTGGTTGGTTTTTGCCAGCGACTATTCAGCCCACCGACATTTTTTTAGTTGGCCTAATTGCTGATCGGGTGTATTCTTTCCAGGTGATCGTATATCCGTTCTCAATACACCGCCATTTCTGCCATATTCTACCTCCTTAGCTGTTGACATTTCCAGGGGCAACTAATGCTGTCTATCTCCTTGTTAGGACTGTGCGTTTATAACACTGTCTGAGTTTGTTCAAGGACATCTACCTCAAACAGCCAGTGTGCTTGGCTTGGCGGCAGCGAGGCGTCCTCAACTCGCCGGAAAAATCACGGTAGTCCACCCCTTCTCAACGGAAAACAGCTGAAAAGCTCACACGCCTGAAGAGGTTGATTCTCGGGCTCATTTGGATACGACACCGTGGCTCGCGGGTGGGAACAGCTGAAATCCGCAGTGTCGCACCCAAATGAGTGTTGGAGTGTTCCGTATCTCACAATGGTTTAAAACATCAGAAGACCTTTTGTAGATCAATCGCAACCACCTACTGTGCCCTCACGAGAATTGTTCGCATAGAACCTCCCTGAGCCCAGTCCGTTCCACCCACGATTTGACATTCATAGTAGCCTTTCTGAGGGACTGGCAGATTCCCTTGGAAGAGACACCCCTGCTCCACGGAGTCAAAAGTTTTGCACCAACCGGGAGTTGAACCCGGTTCTATACCTTGGGAGGGAACAATTATACCGCTAGCCCATTGGTGCTCACATTGAAAAATCGCATGCAGACATCATGAGTCTCTTTGATTCCCTTCTACCGCCGGTTTTGCCTTCACAGTACTCTTCTCAGGCTAATGATGAGCGCACTGAAATTCTCATTTAGGATCAGAGGACGTTTTTGAACACCATCACAGCTTTCCCAAGATTTTCTTTGAGGAGATAGCCCAGATGCGCAAATGCAAAAGATATGGACCAAACGAGAGGCGAACCAGGGTCCGAACCGTGTTGAGGTGCGATGATACCGCTACACCATTGCGCCCACACTTCAAACATCGCATGCGATCTTCATGAGCATTTTAGATTCCCTTATGGACGTCACAATCTGTCGACAACATTTTTTTTCTAGTGTATGATTTTTGCAAGCGTCATGGTCCGCCAAAGATCGTTGCTGCTTTGCCTTCAGTCACAGAGTTAAGAACGATTCTGATAGCGCGTTGATTATTCATGTCAGTGCAAGATACGACAGGCATCGGTCCTAATGGGGAACCACAATAGGTTCCTCATTAGGACCGATGTATCCCGCGGCCTAGGGTTCTTCACCGAAACAGATCGACGATCTGCTTGGCTGATGCTTTCCATTGACATGAAGAAACTAGCAGAAGGATGATTTGGACGTTGCAGACTACTGTTGGACCAACTGATTTTAATCACTGACTTACTGTATCAATGTTGATTTGTGTGCGGCTAACCCTTCCAGTCACAGTTACTTTGGGAATGTACTTATTTCTCCTTCCGTCTCAACTCCACTATTCGACATCTTTGTGAAATCAAAGAACACATTTATCCAACTATAAAATCAGAAACAGAGCGAAATGTGAATTTCACGTAGAAATATGTATGAGGAAATCACTGGATGAAAAATACACATTGGTGACGTCACTCGACTCAGTTATCGTCAATCGAAATTCGTGGTCACCTAACACCCGACTTCAAATAATGAAAGGCCTAGGACAGCTACCCGAGGACGAATTATTGGGCTCAGGAATGAGTTCTCACCATTTTTTTTCCAATTGGTTGTGTAACGGCGACCCTAAACCTGCAGCAATATACCGTTGCGAAGTGCTTCATGTGGTTTACAATTATCAGGATTTCTTTCTGTAGCTTAATTTTTGTCAGATTCAGGCTGCTGAAAAAGGAGCCAGGTCTCAGTTACTGTCGCAGATGACAGTCTTCATTCAGTTCTGCACATGGCGAGGCATGCCATCCAGGTCAAAATTATCATTCTTAAACTCGGCAATTTTGAATAGTCTCCGCCGTAATGACACCCCCTCCGATCATGGCGCAAATGTCACCCTCCTATTGCCTCTTCACCTCTTTCTGACCTGAAATGTCAAAAATGCAGTTTCTGCCACTCGGAATTTTACTTTTGAAAGCTTGAATCTGAAAAAAAGCTGATGAACTCTTGTAGAATTGGCAAACTCTTTCACAACGGTATCCTACTGCTGGCAATACGAGTTGCTGCAGAAACTGACTATGAAAGAAGAACGGCGAGAACTTATTCCCCAACCTGATATATTTGAGAAACTAGTAGATATATGATTACAGCGCATTACCAATGACATGTGTAATACCTGGAAAGAATGGTGACGGTAATTTGTTTGTCAAATATATCAGGTTGGGGAATAAGTTCTCGCCGTTCTTCTTTCATAGTCAGTTTCTGCAGCAACTCGTATTGCCAGCAGTAGGATACCGTTGTGAAAGAGTTTGCCAATTCTACAAGAGTTCATCAGCTTTTTTTTCAGAT